TTCTGGATTTCTCTGGGCCACAGTCCCTCCCGTAGAGAGCAAGGGTTCAAGCCACAGAGCCACTGCCCAACTCTGGAGGAAGACCAGGCCAAGCACTGATGGAGTTACCTAGACTGGGTCTTGAAACATCTGCAAGAGAAAACCAAGCTCAGAGAGCACCAGGGGCCGCTCCTCCCAACCCTGAGCTACCAATATTCTCTTTATGGAAGACCATGTCTCTGGAAGAGGAAGAAGAGCGCCAGGTCCATGTTCAACCCAGCATCTCATTCACAGGAGAGAACCTCATCTGTCCCCTCAGTGTTTCCCTCCCAAGCCCTTCCCCACAGCCTCTTCCACATCTGCTGTTCAAACCCTTTCAAGACCAGCCCGGCTTCCTCTCTTGAACAAGCCTTTTCATCTTTCTTTATATCTCGACCAACCGGGAGTTAACTCCGTTCTTCTGGCAACGGCATACATCGGGGTGAGAATCTGCCTTCTCGCCCAGCTTCTCCTCCTCACCGCACGAGGAGCAGTCAACCCCACTGGCTGGGAACGCTGGAAATTGTGGTTTAATGCATGTCTGGAGGGCACCACAACAGGACGTGAAGTTAAGGGGGAAGCCCCACCTTGGAGTCATCTGCTTTAATTACAAAGACTGCTCTATGCAGCACTGGAGACGGAAGAAGCCTAAGAAGCTATAAAACGATGCACTCCAAGGGATACAGGGGAGAAATTAGAAAGCCAGTGTTTAATTCTCAAAACTCAGAAAATCTGCATCTACAGGATGTGGGGAAGTTCAAACCACAGGGTGCTTTCCGCACTGACTTGGTACAAATCCCGGTTTAGGGCACGGGGTGGGTTGTCTTCGGCCCCTATTTAATAACTTTGCAGCCACCTCTGACCTCTGCCTGTTCAGCCTACCCTGTGGACAATTCAGAGAAAAGCCTCTAGGAAGGTAAGTTTGGGAAAGTGGCCAGTAAAGGTTTTCCCACTTTGGGAGACCCAGTTCCTTGTACCCCAAGCCGAAGCCCAGCCTGGCTGCCCCAAGTCACGTTTTGCTCCACTCCCGTTAGTGACATCTGAACGGTGCGATGTTTGTAGACGGACAGGGATTCCTACACGTGTTCTGGATACCAACAGGTTTGATCCGATGGCTCATTGAGTCTTTCCCTCGGACGCCCAATTACTCCGTTCTGATTGGTTTAGCCTCTGCTGCTACCATTATTTGAATTTCACTGCTTTTGAAACAGTTATGGAGCAGGGGCTTAAAGCCAGGGAAGAAAGGGAAAAGTAATTGCATTACGACAGATAAGGGTTATCTGTCCCTTTCTGGCCAAGGGCTGCCCTGAGCAGATGCTCCTTCTCTCCAGCCACTCATGACCCCGATCCTCTGCAGGGGGAGCGCTCCACTCCCGTAAGATCATCCGGTGGTGGGCTGAAATGCTCATTTACTCTCACTGGTGACACCCCAACTTATTAAAGCATGGTTTTTGATGAACTTCAGCCGAGTTTTGTTTATGAGAGGGTTTTTTTTTAACTGCCCTTGAATTTTTCTGTTAACTTTAATTGTTTGGCCAGTCATTAGAGCGGCTCCAAGTTACTTCCAGCATGTTACTTGGTAGAAACAATCTGACTAATCCTGTTCCCCAAATGGGAAGACCGCAGGTTCCCATGCTGCCTAAGTAAAGTCGGAGGGGGGCAAGGGACAGCGGTTCACAGATGTGGCCCCGATCCTAAAGACGTCTTCATTTCAAAAGCTGCCAGGATGGAACTCTTCCACCGAGTCTCTGGAAGTGTGGATGCATCCTGGGTTGGTTGGCTGGCATCATCTCATGGTGGAGCTGACGGCCATGGTTGGTTTGATCTTTTATGGCCTCCTTATCTGCACATCTGTTTTATGTTTTTATCAGCTCCCAGGAGCCTCTGGATCCTCTGGTCTTTGAGGGAGAGAAATAAATGCGTCCATCCATCCAGGAGAGTTCCACATATCAGACATCCTGGACTGTCATTGTCCTCAAAGGACTCGTAGGGCTGTGGCTTCCTAAACTGAGGACCCCCAAGTGTCTCTGAGGAAGCATTCTTGAGCTTCCCAGGAGAAAGAGGTGGAGAAGGTACGACATGCAATCTGGTTTCCCACTGGCCAGAGAGGGGAAATGCCTCAAAGAGAATGAAGTGGTCATACATATTCTCAGCGAGGCAATCCAAATTTTAAACAACAGTGCACAGTCGGCCTTTCCAAGCCAATCAAAAGCCTTTCTCAAGTCAACAGGGGTGTAAGACAACTCCAAACGTATTAAAAACAAAAGGCCCCAAACTATCTTAAGAGGGCCAAATGGACATGCCCTGCTCAAATGAGCCATTTAATGAATATGTTCAACTTTAGCACGCCTGCAATAAATTTGAAATTATTAAGCCTCATTTGACGTTCCTTCCCTTCCGGCCTGCTTCATGATGACACAATATTAGCGTTGCCGGCCATGCCTCTCATCGCGGAGACTTCTGCCCTCTGCTTCGCACGCTTGGAGCCTTTCCCGGATTTAAGAGATGCCAGAAGTGTGAAGATCCCCCAAAAGGCTCTCGGTCCCACGGCAGCAGCACCCACAAATCGTGACCCCCAAGAACTGTCTGGCCCACCAGATCTGGCAGGCCTGCAGCAGGGAGGAAAAACGCACTCCACTCCTGGGTTTTGTGTGTGTGTGTGTGTGTGTGTAGGCTGTTGTCGCCTTGATCTTTTATCTCTGTAAATACAACCTTTAGCAAGCAGGGCCCTGGCCGGTAGCACAGCCATGTCAGCAAGTTGCAGCGACCTGTTTTTCTGAACGAATAAAAAAGAAAAAGAAACCACTTTTCTGTCAAGCAAAACTCCTTTGTCGCTCTTTCCTCAGCTCATGCAGGTTCTGCACTGTTGACGCCAGATTCCTTCCTGCCAGATCCTTTCCTGGCCGCTTTCCAAGGGCCTTGGACTGATCTCAAGTTGCTTCAGCCCAGAAGATCGACTGGGATCCACTGCTGGGATTCTCAGTGATTTTCAGCAGCAGAGATTCCTGGCGGTTGGTGGATTGATTCAATTTACGCGCAAGCTTTCGACTGAAACAAGCACTCAAGCAACGTTGGGAGACAGCAGCAAATAAAAGACACACAGCAGAGGCACATACCAATCCTAAATTACACGGCCGAAATAAAGAAAACGTGGCACCAGCAGCAGACACGCAGTTCTGCATGCAAGGACAGCCTTTCATTCTGTTCTGGGAGCCGTAATTAATTCCTGTGCTCAACATTCTTTGACTTTTGCACAAAGTGCTCCATGATGGATCTTGGTATTCAGTCGAAAAATAGGTCAAAACTAGACCTCCAGATGTAAACGGTTGACAAGGGTGAAAATTGGGAGCTTACTGGAATAAAACTCCGATATAGTTTTGGAGAGAAACAAAATGTTGGGGTTCCTTGTGTTGTGCAGAGCCAAGGTCTTCTTAGCTCAATCTCATACTCCCTTTGTGCTCCACCTACAAAGTGTCACCCAGGATTCTCACAGAGAATCTCACAGAGGCCAGGAGCTTCGGCCAAGCAGGCACTCGAAAGCACGTTAAACCAGCCGAAGGAACGTCAGAGGGTTCTGCATGCCATCCGTACATCATCCGGCACGGGGAGCACGGCCATATTCCATAGTTTGGATCCTGGCATCGGCCCCACAGCCAGTTGCCAAGGGAATTCTTCCCCAAGAAAATATTTTGTGCAGGAGCCAAAGACAACCCAGGGGCTAATGACAGCATCCGTGAGCAATGAGAAGGAACATTCGCACTCAACACCCAAGCAGGCTAACACTTTTCTGCAGCTCAGATTTATAAACTGCTAATTATGACAACAACCGACTGAACTAACCACCCTCCAGCTAACCAACTTGCAAACAGTTTATTTTCTCAAGCGTTGCCACACTCTTGTGCAGCACTGTTCCCTCGCACAAGGAAATGTCCAATTGTTTCAAAATAGTTTCAAAAATCCACCCATTCATTTGCTATTGGGAAACAGTTGTACAGGCCCTGCTCCCAGGACCCTGTAAATTCAATTTTTCTACCAGAAAGAGAAAGAGCTGGTCAGATGGGAAGCTGAAGGCAAGCTGATAAGGAATAAAACGTGTGTGTGTGTGTCGCCTCAAAAGCGTGACTGTAGGTGTTTCCTCTGAAGTGAACCTCATGGGAGCCCAGAGTGGGACGAACAACTACGAGAAGAGCCTTACTCATCCCTTCCCCCCCCCTCTGATGACAAGGAAGGGTCCCTCTCGGGAGAGAGCCAGTGACACACGCATCACGGAGGGCTGAGTAATGCCTCCCCTCGGAGGGACGCAGCCGGCCTTGGAAGAACAAAAGACTCGCATGGCATCCCACACAGAAGCAGCAGAGGGCTGCAAGGCTGAAGGCTGGCGAACCAACTGTTACACCCACAAGGCGAAGGAGAAAGCGGCTTCTCCCAAGCCAGGAGAGGCAGGTGGGCAGGCGAAGGGTTTGCATCCCACCCGGCGTCCAGTTTGGAAAGAGAAACTCTTCCTTTTTCGCAGCTGCCCTGTTCAAACCGAAGGCAACTCTTATTTCCAGCCTCTTTCCACCCACCCCGTGGGAAAAGGGACCGGCTGCATTCAACCCGCACCCCCCAGTGCACAAACGTTTGCAGAGGGCAAACTCCTGGCAGCTGCATGGCAAGGCTCTTCAGACCCTCTGAAGCTCCATGCGCCAGCTCAAAGCGGGTTCCGGCGTGGAGGAAAGCAGCAGCACGTTGCCTCGCCAGCAATGATGCCATCTCTGCTCCGGCTTCCTGCCGTCGGTGCCTTTTCCCGCTTGCCATGAAAGCCATGATCCAGAGGGTGCCCCCCCCCCCCGCCCCGGAGCCCCCTTGCCCCATGAGTGCAGCCGGCCGGGGGACGGCCACTGCCGCCTGGCACTCTCTCATCAGGGAGTGCCCATCGCCCACACACAGGGCCCTCCTCCTCCTCTCCAACCTGCACCCAACACCTGCACGCCTCCGTTAACCTGGATCTGGCTCTTCCCTTGGCACAACGGCACCCTGCCTCCTTCCCCTGAGCTGCACCCAGAGGGCCGCGCCAAGTTCCTCCTCCGCCTGCCAGGGCTCCTCTGCAGGCCGAGCGGCCCTTCTTCTTCCACCTGCCCGGCCTGGGTGGGCACCGCTCCGTGCTTCCCCCCCCCCCCCCCCCCCCTGCCCCCCGGCCCTCCTCCTCTGCCCCGGCCTCTTCCCTTGGCACAGGGGCATCGTCTTATTCCAAACGCCGCCCACCCGCCCACCCCAGGTCCTGCCCGCAATTGTTCCTCGCGGGGTCACCTTCTTTGCCCTCCCGGCTCCCCCTCCCCAAATGCCCCCTCCCCCTCCCAGCCAGCCCCCCTTGAACGCAGCTGCTTGCCGGCTCCCCGGGGAAGCCCGCTGCCCCTTTGCGGAGGCGGCCGGAGCAATTCCCTGCCAGACGGAGCCGTCATCCGCCGCCCCCGCCCCGGCTCTGCAAGCGACCCCTGCCCTCGCAGCCCGCCGCCTGTGCGCGGGAGAGGCGGTTCCCAAGAGCCAGGCGACCTTTGGGGCACCGAGCGGCTGGACTACAGCACCCATCGGCCTGGGCCCGGGAGGGGGGCGCCCTGCAGACCCCAAGAGGGCAGCCCGCGCCAGGCGGACTCCTGGGTCAGGTGGGGGGGTGGGTTTGGAACCTAGGGCCATGTGAGTCGGGGAGGCGGATGGGTTTTGTAGTCCAGAGCCCAGTGGGGGCAGGGACGGCCCCTCCCCACCCTCCCAGGGGACCCCCGGTCAGGACCTCGTGGCTGAGGGGCAGGTGAACCCAGGCAGGGCGAGGGACACCGTGGGAGCGCTACTCTCGCCCTGTCCAAGAGCCCCAGGCCGGCTGCGCACCATGGGGGTTGTAGTGCGGGCGGCCCAAGAGCCGGCCGGCGGCCCCTCCCCCTGCTGCCGCCCCCGGCGCCCCCTCACCTGGCCCTCCGCTGCCGCCCAGCAGCCTTCCGCCGCCCCACAAGAGCCTCCTCGCGCGCAGAGCCCGCAGAGCCGCCGCCGCCGCCGCCGCCTCGCACTGACTGGCCCGCACGCGCGAGGACCGGCCGCCAGGGGGCGGGGGGCGGGGCCGGCACGCGCAAGCCCCGCCCACGGCCCGCCCTCCCCCCCCGCCGACCGCGCCCTCGGGGTTGGAGGCGCGGAAGGCCAATCGGCGTCCGGCGCGCCTCTCCGGCCGCCCAATCCGGAATGCGAAAGGGATGGGGTCCGTCCAAACGATTGGGCCTATTGGCTGCCGCGCGGGCGAAGGATTCTCTCACGAGCCTCTTTTCCCTCTCGCGCAGGCGCAGCGACGCTCCTCGGCCGGCGAGGCACCTGCTGTCGGTGGACGACACGCGCCGGCGGTTCTGACGTGCCGTTGGGTGGATGGAGGTTCCCCGGCCGCCTTCCAAGGGGCCGCGGCTCAACCTTCCCACTGCAACCCCCATCACCCCCCGCCTTGGCAGGGGATGATGGGCTTTGCGTTCCAGCAAACCATCCATTGCCTTATCCATAAGCCCAGCGTATTTATTCAGAGAGCCCCGGTGGCCCCGCATTGGCCCCCAGAGGTTGGCCTGGAAGGGCCAGCTGGACAAAGAGCCCCGAGCTCCCTCCCAGCAGATCATCCGGATTGCCTTTTTCACTCAGAATCTTAAAAAGGCCGAGTATCATTTGGGCTCAGGGAAAGTGTGGTCCCCCCCCCCAATAAAAACCCCAGCTTCTTCCTTCTTAAAGTGAGCTTGATTAGCGCCTCACCTGCCAGAAGCCTACAAAAGGGTTTGATGCCTTGAGAAGTAGCGTTTTCTTTATCTAAAGAAAATGGATAAGGAAGCACAGGTGGGCCTTTCTTCATGGCCTTCGTGTGACCAGAAAGGGCTGCTGCAGAATTAGAGAAAGAAGAAACAACCTGCAGGAACACCTGGCGGACATTCTTCTCTCGGAAAAAACAATTCCAGAAAATCACTTCTGAGTAACATGACTACAAATATCTCATGTACCAACCAAGGGTGACCAGAGAAAGCCTAATGGGAGGTCCCTTCAGCTGCCCATGGAAAGGCCTCTCGTCCCTATCTGGACTTCAGATCTCCTTACTCCAAACCCAGCAAACATGATTGACTACGCTAAAATCGTGATTCTTTGAACCGCAAGAAGTCCAGAAGACTCCTGCTGACCAAAGCATAGTTATGAATTATTCCATGGTCCTCTCTGCACACCAAAGGTGTAACTCCTAGGAGACAGACAGTCTGAAGAAGCACTCGGTGAAAATCCAAATCACTTTTAGCTGCTATTTGAGGATCTAACAACACGGAATCTTACCTGGTGAGCATCCTCCTGGACAGCCAACAAAGGCTCCGCGTTTAAAAAGCCATCTTTATTTTAGGCTCCGATCTCACCTTTTCTAGCAGGTGATGCCACCTTCTCGGCTGCCGGCTTCCGCTTTTCAAACGTCTTCTTCACATCGGCGACTTTCAGGGACTTTTCCTCCTCTTGTTGCATTGTTCTCTTTCTTTGCTGCGGTGGCAAAACAGGCTCGTCTCCCCGGGCTGTTTCTCCAGAAGCTTGGCTGGAAGCGCGAGAAGGACACAGAAGCATCACAACCATGCTTGGAGAAGACTCAGAGATCTCCATAGGTCGGGCTTCAGTTTCAGGGCTCTGCAAATTCTCCACCGGGCTGCAGGAATCAAATCCCAGTTGGCCACAGAGCCCCTCATCTTCCTTGACTGCAAGGGAGGGGCTGCAGGTCTGCTTGGAGGGTTTCCTAGTCTGGGGAGAAGCCAAATCCAGACTGAGGACAGTGGACCTCTTTATCTCGAGGCCTTTGTCCACCTTGATGCTCTCAGACTCCTCTGGCTTCCCTTCTCCACCTATGTGACAGCAATTGGGAGCTCTGGCAGGCCAAGGGAGACCAGCCACCATTTCTTCAATGACCATTGCTGGGCTGCCCGAGGTTTGTTCTTCCGCTTCTTGGCTCTCTGTCTCTCCATTCTCCTTCCCGGCAGGAAAATCCAGCCAATTCAGGATCCCGGCCTTGCTTTCCTCTCCAGGGGAGTTCAGCATGAGCCTGTTGACTTGCCTGCTCTCTGCGCTGCTGCTGCTCTCGGAATCCGACCGGGAAATCTGCCACCTCAGGGCCTCCCGGGGAGCCTCGGTCATCTCTCTGCTCCCACCTGCAGCTTCTCTCTCCCAGCTTTGCTGGCGGCCAAAGTTATATATTTGAATCCAGGGCCAAGGGCAGTCTGTCATTTCCCTTTTCCTTTCAGAGGCTGCCGGAGAGGGGTGGAATTCTCCCTGGCTGGTGACGATGCTGAGTTCGGCTTCTTCCAGCCTATACAAAAGAGCATTCCTCTTCCTGCCTTCTTCCGAGCATTGCTTTGGAAACACCTGCATCGTGCCCGGCCCCTCTGGGCTCTTTCCGCACATCTGCTCACCTGTTCCTCTCTCCTCCAGGCTTTGGCTCAATTGTATTTCTCTCATGGACACCTGAAGGGAGCCCGTTGTGCCCTTTACTGAGGGGCTGGCACCAGCCTCCTGCTCCACCATCGAAGCCCAAGCGTCGTGGGACATCTTGGAGGTCTTTTGGAGGTGTGGGGGCTGCTTGCTTTGTGTCCTGCTGCTGCTCACTGGCAAGTGGGGCCGTTCTGCAGCTTCCATGCTCGTCAGGGGCCGGAACCCCCTGGCCAAATTCCTGTGCAGAGGAAACCCGAACAAGATCGGTGCCCCGTTGCCAGTCCGTCAACTTTGCATTTTATAAGAAGCCTAAGGGGGGGCATGCAGATTTTTAAAAGGCCTGTTATGCCTAGAGAAGAACGATTAGCCTGACCAAAACCATTGCATCCAACAGTGGGACAAGAAATAACTTTTAAAAGGAAAGGTACGATAGATTTTCCCCACCTGAACAGAAGCAGCCACCTCCAACGTCTCGGCTGCCGAGTGTTTGTGCTGGAAGGACGAGCTGCAGATTCAAAAGCTCTCGGCCGTTTTCTCTTTCTGAAGAAAAAGGGTGGAAGCAGCTTTTTCTGGGAACTCCCAGCAACCTGCCTTTTTGGGCCCCAGCAGTGACGCTTCACGTTCTTCTTTTGCATTCATTTATGGTCAAGAGAGGCTCTGCTCGTCCCCTTCTTCAGGAAGGGCACGAGAGATCAAAAGCAGACGGGCACACCTTCGCTGGGAAGGCCTCTCTGCCCCATCCCGGCTCCTCCGTGACGCTCAGCCTGGTTCCCAACTTGCTGAAGGGAAAAATAGAAGAGGTTTTGGCCAGCAAGCGGAGGGGCTGCAGATTCGATCTATAGTGCTGGGATATGTAATGATTGAAAGGAGGGTTGTGACACGCCAGGCATTCTGGAAGTAAACAGAGCAGCCTGGTGAATCTCCATCAATCTCCTTCAGGCGCTCGACTCGTCTTGGGGTTGGGCGGTCTCTGCTAATAATAAACAAACTCCTGCACTGAGGAGTGTTTTAAATAAGGATCTAAGTTTATATGCAGCCAGAGGTTTGGAGAAAGACTGGACAGTTTCAGTTAAATAGGGAGCAGCCATCACTGTCCAGCTCCCATCTCACAACAGGCTAGCGGACGGACGGACAAGAGGGACTGCCTTCGCTCTTTGCCTTTTATGGCCTGTTAGGTGTGAGGCACTTGACACTCATCGGAGACTCTGCTAGGCATCCCAGCCAGCTGTGCCAAGGTCTCACACCAGCCTCTGGGGAGGGGAGGGGAGGGGAGGAGAGGAGGAGGGACCTGGCCGCTGGGGGAGAAGCTCCATCTTCTGCCTTGGCCAGCCCCATCTGTGCCAGCTCCCCTGTTCTGCTTTTATGGTAACAAGCCGGACTGGCCAGTAAAGGTGGCAGGGCTGCCCTGGGTCTGATGATTCAGCATCCCAGCAACCCCTCCCCAGGAGAAAAGGGCAGCATTTAGACCTTGCCAAAGGATGGAGGAGAGATTTGAGGAAGATAGAGCAAAGCAAAAAAGGGTTTTAAAAAATCCAGCTGTTTCTCTCTCTCTCTCTCCCCATCTCCTTCTACTGTGCTATTGAGCCTGGTTCCTTGTCCTGAAACCTTCCTAGATAGCAGAGCGGTTGCCCAACATTGGTCTGGTGGATGGAAAACATCTCAGTCCATCTCTGGAGGCTAA